GTATTTGCCTCCAAATGAGCATATTGATCAGCAAGATTTAAATGGTCTTTTCTAGAGCAGCTGCCTGAGCCTTTCATCATAATAGGAGATTTTAACGGCCATAGTCCGCTCTGGGGTAGTAAAGATACAAATTGCCGAGGAAGACAAATTGAGCAGATGATCGAAGATCATAGCCTTTGTCTCCTAAATAATGGGCAAGGATACGTACTTCCATGAGCCTTCAAGGACATTCCACGCTCTCGACCTTGCCATCTGTTCACCATCTCTCTGTTGCCATTTTGCACTTTTAGTGTCGGAAATGACCTGTACAACAGCGATCATTATCCCATTTTTGTATCTCTTGCACGAAGAGGAGCAAACCCCATGTCGAGACTCCCTCGGTTTATACTGGACAGGGCAGACTGGGAACTCTTCTCTTCCATTGCAGAGCTCAGAGATCAAATGGTAGAAGATGTGCATATCGATGACGCTGTGGAAGCTGTTACTAATACTATTATTCAGGCAGCTATGCTTTCGATTCCTAGAACATCAGGAAAAATACTTAAATATACGAAACCATGGTGGAATCGCGACTGTCATGAAGCACTGAAAAAACAGAAAAAAGCATGGGGTATTTTTCGTAGATATCCTACTCTGCGAAACCTCATAGCCTTTAAAAGAGCCAAAGCAAATGCACGAAAAGTAAGAAGGCAGAGCCAGAGGGATTCCTGGATTTCATATGTGTCCTCAATAACATCCTCTACGCCTAGTAAGCGGGTTTGGGAAAGAGTTCGAAAAGCATGCGGAATGTATAAAGACCACTCACTTTCCTTTCTGGAAAAAGATGGCCGAGTGATTAGCTCCATAGAAGAAATTGCAAATACTATTGGTGAGACATTTGCTGCCGTTTTCTTCCAGCAGAAACTATTCACCTGCATTTCTCTCTATCAAGCAACACTCTGAAATAAATCCCATCGCATTCAACTCTTCCAAATCTGAGCCGTACAATAGAGACTTTACTATGGTTGAATTAAAGAGAGCTTTGTTGCAGACACATAGGTCTTGTCCTGGTCTAGATGGCGTGTATTATGAAATGCTAAAGCATCTGTCCTATAAGTCACTGAGTGCCCTTCTCACACTTTACAATAGAGTGTGGAAGGAGCGTACATTTCCCAGTGCATGGAGGAGAGCTGTTGTCATTCCTATTGCGAAGCCAGGGAAAGACCCGAGGAATCCCTCGAACTATCGGCCAATTGCCCTTACCAGCTGTGTTTGCAAACTGTTTGAAAAGATGGTAAACAGCCGCCTAGTCTACTTCTTGGAAAAGAATAATATTATATCGCCTTATCAAAGTGGTTTTCGAAAGGGAGAACGACCGTAGATAATATGCTTCTATTAGAGACATCTATTCGAAAAGCCTTTGTCAAAAGAAGTCACCTTGTCTCAATATTCTTCGACATTGAGAAAGCTTATGATAAGGCATGGAGATACGGTATACTCCGGGATCTTCACGAGAGTGGCTTGCGCGGCAACCTACCAATTTTCATTCAGAATTTCTTGAACGCTAGAACTTTTCAAGTAAGGATTGGCTCTGTTTTTTCGGATGTTTTTGAACAGGAAGAGGGTGTGCCTCAAGGCTGTGTGCTTAGTGTAACGCTGTTCAGTTTAAAAATAAATTCTGTATTAAAAGAACTTCCTCATACCATCTTGGGATCTCTATATGTTAGATGATTTACAGATTAGCTGTCGAGGAGCAGACATGAGATACATAGAGAGGCAATTGCAGATGGCTCTGAATAAGATCCAAGAATGGTCAGACAAACAGGGATTTACTTTTTCGAAACAGAAAACTGTGTGCGTGCACTTTTGTAGGAAGCGAGGTCTCCATCCTGAACCTGAGTTATATCTGAATGGTACAATTATTCCAGTTGCGCCCGAAGTAAAATTTTTAGGAGTGACGTGTTCGACCAGAAATTGACTTTCCTTTCTCATGTTTTAAACCTGAGAAAGAAGTGTCTCAAAACACTAAATATTTTAAAAGTGTTGGCGAACACCTCCTGGGGTGCAGAGCGTTGCTCCATGCTTCGCATTTACAGAGCGCTTATCCGCCTATGGCTCAGCTGTTTATGGATCCGCTTGCTCATCTGTTTTGTTAAAACTGGATCCTGTTCACCATCAGGGTTTGCGGATTTGTTCAGGAGCTTTCAGGACTTCTCCTGTACACACACAGCCTATATGTTGACTCTAACGAACCATCACTTTATCTGAGGCGTGAGCAATTGTCCCTTTTACAATATTTTAACCCAACCTGAACATCCCAATAAGCTGTGCTTACTCGATAATGAGTGTAACACATTATATGAAACACGTCCATCCTGTGTTCCTACTTTTCCTTTAAGAGTTCGCCCTGTCATTGAGGAACTTTCCCTCTCTGATATGTGCCCTCAAGCAGTACAGAATTTTGAAATTCCACCTTGGGAAAATTCACGGATTCAGCTCCTTGAGTTTTTCAAACATCACGTGAAGGCGAGCACTAACGAGATCGTTTACAGAGAACTCTTCGCTGAGCACAGGCACAGATATAGCAGTTATTATCCGATATACACAGACGGATCAAAGTCAAATGATCATGTCGGGATGGCTTTTGTATTTGAAGATTACATTGAGGGCAGATGCCTACACCATGCTTGCTCAGTCCTAACATCTGAACTAACTGCAATATATTATGCTCTTTTGTACATCTCGAAGCTCTGCCACAAGAAGTTCATAGTTTATACAGACTCGTATAGTGCTCTTAAATCTTTGGAAGCTTTTCCCAACACTCAGAATCCTGTGGTAGTAGGATGTCCTGAAAATTCATATAAATTTAACGATTCGCGGATATGAAGTCCTGTACTGCTGGGTTCCTGGACATGCTGGAATAAAGGGAAATGAGCTTGCAGATATTGCAGCCAAATCTGCTGATGAACTGACTAGTCGCCTTATCCCTTTTAGAGATATCTGCTGTGTCATCAAGGGAAAAGTCCGGAAAAAATGGCAGCAATTTTGGGATGTTCAGCTTCAAAACAAGTTAAGACATGTAAAACCTAGAATTGAGCATTGGGAATCAACCAAAAATCGTAAGGAGGAAGTTCTTTTGACTCGCCTCAGAATTGGTCACACTAGAGTCACACATAACTATCTTCTCAAAGCTGAAAATGAGCCTGTTTGTTTTAATTGTAATGTTTGTTTATCTGTTCGTCATATTTTAATTGAGTGTCCATGTTTTAATTGTCTTCGCCAGACTTACCTCTCGACCGTTTAATCGGAAGAGACCCCACTCACTCACTAAATTAAGCATTTCTAACATAAATTTACATTGAAAATAAAAAAAAATGCTCTTACCTGTGGAAAACGCGAGTGTTGCGTTTGCGCAACTTCAGCGGAATAAGATTACGGATGTTTAGTGCCTAGGATTGTACTCGTGCGATGGTACCTTTGAGTGGATTACTTTTTAGCTGGATAACGTTTATAAATCTATAAATCCCTTAATTGTAATTAACTTAATATTAAAATATACATTATATTTTTTTGAGAAATACAGATTACTTTATTTGAAAGCTTCAAGCATGAAAAGCTCCATTACAATCATGATGTAAAACTACATTACATACTTTGCATCTATAAACAGTCTGGCTATGGCATTCTTTACAACGAAGTCTTTTGTTATAATCGGACTTTGCGATTAAAAATTCTACTATCTCCATGCAATGGATTTTGAATGCTGAATTTACTAGGTCTTCCTGTTGCTGATCTACTTCTGGCTAATTCTACACTCTTAATAGGAGTTTGCAAAAGGAATAATGGAATCTCGCGTCTGAAATCTAAAAGACACTTTTTGTTTCCAGTAGTAGAAAGTCGTGATATTTAGTAAGTTTACCTTACATAGATTTATCAGCATTGTCAATTTGACTACTGTCAGCTAAATGCATAATTCTGCTATCATATTCCTATACTGCAAACGTTGATATCGATTCTTGTACAATAGGAACAGAAATGTCCTTATCAAGTGACCAATAAATTTCTTCTTGAGGTAAAGAATGATATCCCGTAAGCAATAATATTCCAATAAATCTTTCCATATAGGCTTCAGATGCAATCAATTCTGGGAGTGTTTTTTTTTTTTTTTTTTTTTTTTTTCTGAGCATATATATTTGCCTGTTCAATGAGAAGAGAGTAAAAGTCTATACCACAAAGAAAATTGAAAATCTCTCCAGTAGTTTTACCTTGTATTTTATCTTTTAAAGCTTCTCTTCTATCTCTTTATTTTCTTCCTGAGACATAACTGACGGTTCCTTTTTTATCCATTTCAAGTCTTCAGCTTTTTAAAGATTTTCTTATGACTACCACTGCTTTTAGAAGTATAGAAGGCTGAAACTTACTTCTTAGGTGAATTTCAACTTCCCCAGCAATATCATTTGGTAAAATATCAGTATTTAAAACATTGTTATTCCCTTCTTCTTTATCAGTAGCTTCTGCAATTTCTGGGTGAACAACAACAATATCAGTTTCATTCTGGTCATTGTTAACATTATCATCATCTGTTTCTTCATCAAAAAACTCTTTGAAAGGCTTCTTCTAATGTAAGATACCTCTATATAACATTTTTAAAGCAGCCAGAACATGAACCAGAACATCGAAAGGAATGAGTGAAAAAGGAGCTTACCAGTTTCCTGCTGACGTTGCATCAGTGCAACAACTGTTTTCCTTTCCTTCCCAACACAAATATAAACATCTGATTGATGTAATCTTCTGATAAACTTTGACTAAGAATAGATCACTTGTAAAGACGGCGATTCTTTCGTTAAATATTTTCGGCAAAAATATCTGGTCGAAAATTTTGCTTGAAGTACGATATTAATTATTATAAACAAAATGATTGTTGAAGGCAAATATTTTTTTTTTTTTTTTTGCAGAAATAATCTTCTTAATATTTCTTACACAAAATCATCTGCTGGTACAAAATATCTTAAATAGTTATATTTATATACGCATTTATTTTGACTGTTGCGTCAACGCAACACTAGCGGCTAATGGGTTAACAAGTTAAGTTATCATGATACATAAAATAATAAACTAACAGTATGGAGTCTTCAGCATTTTTACAAACAGACCAAGAGACAGAAAATTACAGGCATGATAATTAATTATGGTTATGAACCATTCTTAACTGAATGAAAAATTATATTAAATCATTTGGCAACAGTTAAATATGCTATATATATAGATATAGAAAATAAAATGAACACATAAAAGTTGACATAAGTAATTTTATTTTATCTACGCCTTCTATGCTTCTTTGCACGAGGTTTAAACCACTTCTGCTTCTAAAAAAGAAAAGGTATCAATCAACATATAGTTTTATAATTGCAATAGTAAAAAATTAACAAACAACATATCTGATTTTACAGGCATACATAATTTTCTAAATGCAAAGCAGGTAGGCATAATGAATCAGCCAATTTTTTTTTCCCAAATACAAAATACTGTTGTAAAAATAATAAATGAGACCTGGCCCCCAAAATATTTAACCGGGGAAAAGGCCTTTACTAGTAATTTTTACAATACCAAAATATGTGTAGTAATTAATTATGCCAATAGTGAAAATGCTTTTAAATTTTAAAAATGTTACTAACAAATTAGTGCAGCTTGCAACACATATTTGGGTTTTGGATTTGAACTTTTTGTGTGTGTGTGTTTAAAACATATTTATCATATTTACCCGCATATCTCTCCCCCAAACATTTTTAGCAGAAGGTTCCGAGTATTCGTGTTCTTTTTTGGAGTTTGCATTTTTTAGGTTTTGAGCAATGAAGCAATAATGCAGAAGAGCTAAAAAAATGGTTTTGATAATGTATATGATATGTGCATGTGTGTGAGATATGCAACTCAAACTTTAATTTGGCCTCATTTTAATGGGGCTATATTTCCTTTCCGTACTAAATAGTTTATAATAACGTTCCTGAACTGTGTCTTTTCAAATTAATTCACTCACGCTTGCTCATGCAATCCTTCGAAATGCAGATGGCTCTCATTCAATTGTAGAGCTCAAAACTTAACCAAAGAAATCAAGTTTATAAATACCATTGCTACTTTGAGTTTAATTTCACTAAAGTAACTAATTTCACATGTTATGATTAAAAGGAAATAATTATGAACTTGTTGAAGATTGTAATTTTGAATTTATCTAACAAACTAACATAACATTACCATGAAGAGAGAAGTGAAAATAAATTTATCGCACAAACTTTAAACACATTAGTGATCTTTAAAAGCACAAAGACTGCATTAGTGGAAATGATTTGTAATATTAGTACACTGTATCTGTGACGTTAATTTAAAACATTATGCTGGATTAATTTCTGAACCACCAATTTTTTTTCACTTTTAGATATTGAACATATCAAAAGCAGCAATGTTTCATATGGATGTAGAATCAGTGTGATGTTTCATGTGGATGCGGAATGAAATAAACTAAGTTTTCATAGCACAACTTTAGTTCTTGTCATTCACACACCTATTTGAATTTCGTAAATACTTGTAGATATTTGACTCATTCTGCACAAATGTACTAAACTTTAGGCAGGGATTTCTGAGATAGATGATATCTCAGAATATAATTTTTATATTTGTAATACTGTTTAGTAATTTTATTTAGCTATCTCCTTTTTCTGTTCTAAATTTTATAATAATTTTTCTGGAATGTAATCTTTCCAAGTTAATTCATTCATGCTTGCTTATGTAATCCTCCACATTGCTGATGGCTCTCATTCAATCACAGATCTCAAAATTTAAACAAAGAAATCAAGTTACTATTGCAGCGCTCTTTTTCCTGTCTCATGTTGGTTATTTTCTCTGCTTTGCCCTTATCTAATGATGTGATCCATTTTATAAAAGTGTGGAGGATGCTTATTGCATGTAAAATGATGCACAAACATGTTTATACTTATCAAGAATTTCCACAAATAAATAAATTAAGACATTGTTTTTGTCACATCAGTCCTTGTCGTGTACCTTGTGTAGCTACGCTATCTATGAATCCTAAATCATCTACTCAGAGCATATAATTTAGAAACTTCTGCTTGATAGTAACAATGTAAAGTATATACACAAATAGGCAAGTCTTTTCTCTAAGTGAGAAAAATATTATTGACACTGACAAGGCCTTTGAAATAAATAATGTAATAATATTATTGTATCTTCACATATGCTTTTTAATGTGTTATGTTTATTATTTAAGTCATCTCTGCAGGAATAGCTTAACACTTTACCGACTGATAGCCAATTAATCAGCTTTTTATCACTAACGCCTACCAACCGACTATTAATCTTTTTTTTTAGCAACGCCTACCAACCGATAGCCTATTAATCGGCTTTGTTTCACAAACACCTTTCTCGGGGCTAGCTAAAAAATAGCCTATCAATCAGTAGCCATAGCGATAAACAATTGCTATTTGCTATCTCATCTGCATTTTAGTATTGAGGTACATTGCTCACTTGTGTCATGTGCATTCCTTCGTAAACTCCCACATTCACACTGCTTTAAAAAAATTTACTATTCACGATGTGGGAAAAAAAAAAAGAAAAAAAAAAAAAAAATTGGTACTGGAGAATTTTATTTAGATGATTTATCAGATTGTCCTGACAGGGAAAATCTGCGGCTTAGCCGATATTGGACGTGCATATGCTGTTGAACCGCTAGCGGTAGGTAAAGTGTTAAATTGCATATTTTTCCCTTCCTGATTTTCAAACGGTAAAATCAGTAAGAAAGGGGGGATGCGGTACATATACTGAACCAGAAACATTAGTATTATGAGCACTATTATGCTTTAAATGCTTAAAGAATTCTGAATTACATTCTGCTTGCTATTATATTACTCTGTAGATTATGCTTTTCTAGAATAAATGTGGATTATTAGTATAAGTTACATTAAAAGTGTGTGGATAGTTAAGGTAAAATTTCCATTACAATTATATGAATGCTATGTTTTTATGCAGCATAAACAAACATGATTAATTTTAAATAAATTATTCACACTAAAGCATTAGGAGTTTTAATCAGATGTACTGTAAATGGCACCACAGTAAATTAAGATTTCGGAAATAGTGCATTCTCAATAGAAGGCAAATTTCTTCCAGGATGGAAGAAATTGAATTTTTTGATATTACTAGAGTTACATTTTATTCATATGTAACATTATTATATATTAACCAATTTAAATATTTTCACTATGCACTTATTTAGCCTCATTTATATGCTAGTAATAATCTTATAGACAATATGGATGTGCCGAGGATATTATACTGCCGAGTTTGGATGGACTTTGATATTTCAATTTCAGTTTGTAATAGTAAAAATAACATTTTTATTCAGTAGCAATGGGAGTTATTAAAAAACTTTAATTTAATTCATCATTAATGCAGTGCAACATACTATAACAAAACAATGTTTCTGCTTGTGTATGTAGTAATCTAGTTTGTAATTTTGAATGAAACCCAGGCAGCACGTCTCCAAAAATATACGTATAATTTTGGTGAAATAAGGGTATGGTATTTTTTGCACGTTACTTTTACGAAATTTATACGAATGAAAAAGGCTGAAGTTACTGTTGACTCTTGATCGTTATTTTCACGAAAATTATACGAATCCGAATGTACTGATAAAACTACCGCCATGATGGTATATTTTATTCGTCACTTTTACGCATATTATACGAATCCGAATGTTCTGAAAGAAACTACTGCCTTTATGGTATATTTCATTCGTCACTTTTACGGATATTATACGAAGTCTAAAAAGATTGAAAATGAAGTTTATTAATTCAAAATATTTAGTGTATTTCTGGCATTTCACTTTGTTTTCCTTGTCCACGAACATGAAAAAAGGGGCATTCATATATGAGGCTAAAATTTTTCTATAAATTTTAACATGTGAGCTAAATCTTTACGTGCATTTTTGCAAAAAATTATATTTTCTTAATTCAAACATCTTCAAAATAACTTATTTATTTTCTTATATCAAATTTGTTATTTTTATTCATATCAACACTTACATTAATTTACACAATTTAATTTCTTTTATGAAAATCCTATTACCCATTTAACTGGAATAAGCTGTATATTAAATTTGTGTACTTACTGAGTTTGGTACAATACTCTCCTTATTTTATTTAGCAAATGTGGGCAATTAAATTGGAATAAGACTAGCAAATCTTTCATGTCGAGGAATAGAATAATAAATACAGCAGAAGATGCTCGAAAACGTTTAACTTCTTGAACAATAGTTTAATGTAGACCAAAGGATTATTAATTATAATCAAAGATATACTAATATTTTTATTTAATAATAATAATAACTCTACGAAATTGCAAGCTGAATCCTGATATTTTACATATATTTCAGTTCCTTTAATCTTTGTTATAAAAATCATATGAGGCTAATTTTTTTAAATTTTGTTTAATGTACGGAAAAAATGATATAGCGATTTTAATAATTTTTATATGAGGAAAAAAATAATAAATAATGTAAATAAATAAATAATTATATTATATTTTATATTTTTCCTGAAACAGTTAAAGACATTCTTAATATGGAGATCTACAGAATAAGTACAAGGGTCCAGTTTAAATGAACTCAAAATTTGCATAGTTAATTTTACGCTAACTTATAAAAATTAACCGGATTTACGATTATACACTGAGCATGCGCATACACAGACATTTCTATTTTTCGTAGAAAAATTTAATTATTACCTTAATACAGAGATGCTGTGAATATAAATTTATATAATGCAAAAGTAAGTTTATTTCATATGCTAATTTAGAGGCTTTCTTAATATGTTTAATTATAAAGAAAAAAAAAAGCGTTGCAATTCTTGTTCACTGACCAATGGCAAAGCAGACACTTTCTACTTCCGGTTGTGGCGGGATATTTGTGAAGTCAGCACTCAGCAATGGCGGTCGAAAAGAATGGTAAAGTCGCAAAGAATACTGTTTGTTCGTGGATTGGCGTTTGTGACTGAATCCATCGAAGTTACTAATTATTTGAAGAAAGTAAGTGAATATTTTATATTTTCAGTGTTTAATACTCGTACTTTCTTCACCTATATAAAATTTTATAAATAGCGTCTGTGTAGGAAATGTGATTTTCCATGTGTTGTTCTTTTGTGTACGTGCCTAATGATTCATTTTCAGGATTTGGTACTGTTAAATTTTGCACTAGTCTGTTTCTTACTGTTTGTGTCACTCCTTTTTGTATGTGTCTCACCTTTTTATAGTTATATTATTTTTACTCAAACGTTTTAATATTTATCTTAAAGCATACTGT